AAAATCTTCGTCTGTGATCTTAATGGGAAACAGATGATCAGTGACTGGAGGCTGCAGTGTTATCTCTTTAAATCGATAAGCAGTTTAGGAACATTTAGGCAGCCTACTTGATAAAAGAGATCCTTCATTATTAACAGCTCTTAAACACAAACTCTGTTTTTCCCCCCAACGTGTCCAAATGTTTCTACGGCTTTTGAGGGTCAACCGATTTCAGTCAATTTTCTGTGCTGGATCAAAGACGGCCTCGTGTTTCTCTCTTTTCAGACAGAACAGCTGTGTGGTGACCAGAGGAGCCTTTGTGGATGTGTTGGTGTGCCTGTGTGGGCCTGACATCAGCATTCTGGAAGGTGAGTAGTAATTGTGGGATCACTACTTTTCACCGGAGTTTTAATGAAGACCTGCAGAAATATGCAGAGCGTGACACAAATGCAAGTCCTGCACACTACCCACAACCACGTGGTGACACACATACAGTGACATGAAAAGGTTTGTCTGTGTGTAAAACACAAGCTGATTAGATTGATCATCGAAGCCAAAAAGCTGTATCTTAATCATCCACTTTGATCCAGTCTGGATCAGGATGGTTTAGGTGTTTGTTACTGAACTTGTAAAGATGACACCAAAAATAGTAGACATGGTTAAGACAGAAGTTCAAACTGAGCATCAGAATTGGGAAGAAAGGAGATCAAAGTGGCTTTGATTGTGACATGGGTGTTGGGGACAGAGCGGCTGATTGGAGCATTTCAGAAACTGCAGATCTGCTCTGATTTCCACACACAGGCATCGTTACAGAGAAAGTTCTCTGGATATTTTCTCTGGATGAAAATGCCTTGTTGATTTCTGAGGTCAAAGGAGAAGGAGCACACTGCTTTGACATGATATGAAGGCAACAATAGCCACTTGTAAGAAAAAGATAACTTTTTATTGTCAGTGCACACTCATACCTAATATACCGTATTTTTCGGACCGTAAGGCGCATTAAGCAAAAACAAGCATTTGCATTCATTCTCCAGCTTTACTGTGTTTATGTTATGCTAACATAGCTGTGTTGCTAGTGATAACGTAGCACATCATTATATACCAGCTAGCCAGTCAGAACATGGTATATCATGTTTAGGTGGAAACTAGCGAGCTAACTTCCTGCTAACTTCTAACTCTGTTAAATTTAATAAATCCTGTTTTCATGGATGCCTGGATGTTAAACATAATTGTTACACCTGGTAAAGCAGCAGCGCTGCTCATTTTATTAAAGATAAGATAATTTAGACAGTTTGTAACTCTCAGTGATGCCGCAGTGTTCGTTTGACTGTGGGACCTGAAGAAGACCGAGTTTTGGACCCAGATCTCTCCGCGAGGCTCCTGACTACGGCAGCCGTAATGCTCCAGCAATACATCAACCGGTGCAGCTTTGTATCTTACCAAAGTCGTACCAAAACATTTTTTGACAGATTTTCGAGCACCGCATAAAATCGATTCAAGGTCAGTAGCACAACCAGAATTCATACATAAGGCGGACTGTCGATTTTTTAAAAAGTTTTTTAAGTGCGTCTTATAGTGCGGAAAATACGGTAATAGTACGACGAAAGTGTCCCACATCAATACTGCGCGCAACTAAACACAACACAGTAACTTAAAGTGGTTTTTTTAAAAGTGCAAGAAAGGTATGAGCAAAAAAAGGAATGTCTTAATAAATAAATAAAAGAATGAGTGTTTATTGCACATTATTATTATTATTGTTATTGCCCCCCCAAAAGTCCAAGGGGGTAGCCAATCAGGTGAGCTGTTAGCATTGATTAGGGCTGTTGTAAAAGTTGTCCTTCAGTGTGTTTGTCCACGACCTCAGCAGCCTGACTCTCAGGAGCTGAAACACCCGGTGTCCTCGGTGTGTGCAGTCCCGTGGCCCCCTGAGACAGCGAGTGCTGTACAGGTCCTTCAGGGAGGGAAGAGGATGTCCAGTGATTTTTGGGGCCATATTAATGACCCTCTGAAGTGCCTTTTTGTGTGCAGCTGGAGAAACATACACAGATGCAGTATGTCAGCAGCCAAAGTATGCAGAGGAACATCTCTAAGTGCAAAACAGCCTTGAAGCATGAGTTCACCAAACATGAGAAGGTTCGAGTCCATTTCTGGTGCAGTATTTGGTTTGTAGGGTCAGCATTTTGTGTAAACAGCATGAAATCATGGATCCGTCCTGCCTTGTATCATTAGTTCGGGCTGCTGGTGGTGTAGTGCTTCACACTCTGGACCCCTCAACACCAACTGAGCGTCATGTAAGTCACTATCTGAGTTTTGTTGCTCAACATGTTCATGTCTTTATGAGCACAGTGTATCCATCTTCCTGCTTCCACCAGGATAACGCAACATATCATAAACCTCAGATCATCTCAAACTGGTTTCTTTAAGATTTCAGTGAATTCACTGCACTCAGATGGCCTCTACTGTCAACAGAGCACGTTTGGGATGGGGTGGAACAGGAGATTGGTATCCTGGATGTGTTGAATTGACAACACAAAGTATTCAGGCAGTTCTCAAGACAACGGTGGGTTCAGCATAATACCAAGAACGTGTACCTAATAAAGTGGTGTTCTTTAGGCACCCTAAAGAGGACTGTGAACAGGACATAGTCCTGACGCTTCTGTAGGAGTTATCTTAGAGCTCAAATGAATTTTACAAGAGCTTTTTTTCCTTTTATTCACTCTAAAATTGTACAAAACCAAAAATCCTACCCTCTGTTAAAGTGTTGAACATCTTTTCTCTTTAACGTCCTCTCACCTCACCGATCGGGCGTCTGCAGTCGTAGCGCCTAAGCTGTGGAATAATTTACCCCCATACGTCAGACTGCTCCTACTGCCAATCTTTTTAAATCTTATCTTAAAACACATTTTTATTTACTGACTTTTAATACAGCATGAGAGTTATTTGTTAATTCATATTTGGTGTTTGCCATCAATACTAATAAAGTTATTTTATTAGGTATGTTGTATTCTTGTACAGCACTTTGGTCAACGCTCCTGTTGTAATTAAATGTGCGATATAAATAAATAAACTATAACTAACCTAAAATCATGTTAGCTAACTGGCCATAAATGTTGCTGTGCTGTTTAAAACATTCCAGCTTGCCTTAGAAACACTAAAAATTGGAGCCAGAAGATAAAATCCCCACTTTGACAACTCGAAATGAAACGATCTACATCTGGTGTTCCTATTTGCCCACTCGCTCATGCTCCACCTGTCCACCAAATTTCCTAAACTTTCCTCTGCAGCTTCCTTTTATTTAAACGTTCTTGCTGACTAAAGTAAAATCTCTTTGTTAAAAGATCTTTTCTGGGTTCGGTGTATTCTAGTCGAACAGAGTGATGGATATTTGAGTTTTGCTGCTTGTCACGGCGTTGCCCGGCATTTCACCAGCTCAGCAAGCAGCAGCTGCTTTCAGTCCATTTGCTTCGAATTTGACGTCGGAGCTTTCATCATCTGAACGGACAACCGTGCAACTTTTGTTGGCGAGGCTGTGCACCACTGCGCTCTCCATTTAGACTTATTGTTGACAGGAGTCTGCTTCATGTATCGGGTAGTTCAGAGAAGCCTCCTGGTGCGTGCGTGTGCACGCTTGTGCGGTCATGTGCGCACGCACGCAGACCTGCGGGGTCTCCACGCTGGAGGAATGTGAAACCGAAGGCGAGCGATCTGTGACAGATGGTGGGGTTGCGTCTGTGACCCAGTTTATGGAGGAGCGCTGTACAGAGAGGAAAGAGGGAAAGGGGAGGAGGGCACCGATGTTTTCAGTGGGCCATGTGCTGAGCACATGTTGGTCTTGACAGTGGAAATACCGAGGATTTCTCCAAACAAGCCTGCAGATTGGCCTGACTTGGCTCTCCTCCTTACATAACTAAATAAGCAGCCTGGAGCTTACACACCTCTAATGCCTCGATTATTATCATAAGTCTGTCTTTGGTTTCACCCGCTCTGGTGGTGGCCTTTTTATTTCTCCTTCTTTTTTGTTCCTGCTCCTCACCTCTAATCACTTCCCCTGTTCCTCTTGTGTAATTGCACTTCTCACTTGAATCAGATTTAAAAAGCCACAGGTTTTGGAAGTTCATTTGAAAGCAGCAGGCTCTTAAGAGCGCCTGGCACCAGAGGAAAAGAAGGTGAACAATCCCCTTTTTCAATATTACTTTTTTCCCCCTCCCCTCTTTTAACTGGCTCCCTGCATTAAGTAGGAACTTTGCATTTACCAGCCAATTCCTCTCAGCTCTGAACACAGCTCTTTGTTCATGAGTGTGCACACATTTCTCTGCTCCAGCTCTTTGATCTGTGCTGACTCATAAAAAAACCCCTCTGTCCATTGCTTCATCTCCACCTCAGCCAGCCTGCTGTTTCTTTGCTTTCCAGCCTTGCCAGTAAAATAAACTGAAAGCTTTAGCAGGAGAGAGAGAGGAGAGTGGAAGCCGGACACTAACAGGAGGTAAAAATCAAACTAAAATGAACTTGTTTTTATTAGTGTGCTTTCACATGATGATGATGATGATGATGAAACAGCCGCTTAAGACCGGAGTCTGGCCTTAATTTGTTCTGTTCTGGTAAACTGCAACACGTACTGTAATTCTTTTCAGCCCCATTAGTTTTCGTGTGCTGTTTGTAGACACGATCTTCAATTTTCTAGTCTTTTAACTTGAAAAAAGGAGGAAAAGAATTAGAGGAAAAGTCAAGAAAAAAAGTCAAAATCAGTTTTATAGACCCCTGTTCATATACATCAGGGTTGGCAAATAGTCCAGTCCGGCTCACTGCAAAACTTTGGAGGAAGGATCAAGGATTACGTGTGTAGTTTAACTTCATTACGCTGGCAGAAAGGGGAGTTTTGCTGGTCCGGCCCACTCAAGATCAAAGTGGGCTGTATGTGGCTCACAATGTACAGTCCATCCATTCGCTTCTGCTTATCCTTTTCAGGATGGCGGGGGGCGCTGGAGCCTATCCCAGCTGTCATAGGGCGAGAGGCAGGGTACACCCTGGACAGGTCGCCAGTCTGTCGCAGGGACAGACAACCATTCACACTCACATTCACACAGAGTGACAATTTGGATTAATCAATTAACCTATCCCTACAAGCTGCATGTCTTTGGACGGTGGGAGGAAGCCGGAGTACCCGGAGGGAACCCACGCAAACACGGGGAGAACATGCAAACTCCACACAGAAAGACCCCGGCCTGATGGTGGAATTGAACTCAGGACCTTCTTGCTGTGCGGCAACAGTGCTAACCACCGTGCCACCGTGCTGCCCTCAATGTACAGTCTCACATCCCTGATATAAATATTGCACGTTTAGCCATTTGCAACCAGGAATTGGATCTTT